GAAGCGATTTAAGAATGTTCTGTTTGTCAGCAAGTTTCGTCACGCTTTTGTTCATAAGACATAGCCATTAAAATTCTAAACAAACAAGATACGACGCTGTTATATGTTTGATACTACGCAGAAAGTTAAGCGCTGTGGGCTAGCTGAAGAAAGAAGACGTAGCTACACTCTGTTGGACTCGGGTTTGTTAGAAAAATACTTTAGGAAATTAGATAACTCTTAGTAATTGCTGCCTCGTAGAGGCAGCATACTAATTCTGTCGGTCCCAGGCTTTCCGCGAGTTATGTGGAGGAGACAGGGAGAAAAAATCGAGATTTTAGAACAATGAATTGATGACGTTTTGTGACGTATGATTCGTTTCAGCATAACTTCCGGTTTCTTCCCGAATCAGTCTCGTGGTGTGGTTGGCAAGCAGAGGAGGAGTGGTCACTATACCGTGATGCATTGCGATTATTCCAGTTAATTATATATTATTGATTTTCCACGAGCGAGCGCTTATTGTTCGCTTGACCTTCACTATCAAAACAACAGGAGTGAGAAATATGGCGGATTTTGTATTAGCCGATTCACCGCCATAAAGCTTCAGTTTTGGAAGGACACGGTCTTCTTTTTGTTCATTGTGTATCGTGAGAGCCTATGCTGTTGGTTCCTATGGGTTATCGTATGTTCAGTTTCAATGCCGTGAGATTCACATCAGAAGAATCGCTATATTTGTCTCTAAAAGTTGATGAAATCTTCGCCGATTGCAATAGCCCAGCATTGATAGAGTATAGAGATACATTGTGTTTTTAGGGTAAGTCGTTTGTTTTAATCCTTAAAGCCAATACAAAGGCAATGTATCTACGCAATGGTTTTTGCTTTTTCTATGATTCACATTTTTATAGCTAATGTTGGTCACAATATTTGTGCTTTCTATTTTGAATATATGCATATAGAGCTAAAAAATAGTTTTAAGTTAGAGAAGCCAAGACTGTTCATTTGGTTTGATCATAGAAGGTTGATTACTTTGGTATTTTATACGGACTATTAAAGTAATTAACCCATTGAATTGCATCGAGTTGCATTAATTGCACCCTGATGCACCCTACTTTATTATTTTACTCTAATGCCAGATTATTTTACTCTGTCTAATGGCAGCTGGCCTATCTGCCCATGTGCCTAGTTAACCATTGAATCACATTTTGCCCTCATGCGCCCCACTTTAATATTTTACTCTGTCTAACGCTGGCACTTAAAGGGTTAAACAGAAGATTGTTTTTTATATATTGCAGTTCTCTGACCTCAGTGATCTAAGACGAGATGGAACAGGACAATCTTTTATCTTTGGGAATGTTATTTTGTGGGATTTCGATATTCTGCCATTGCCACCTTCTCAAACAATTCAACCTTGAGGTCCAGATACTGTTGATGAAGATTTGGACAGTGTGCTGTCACTAATAAATTTACAAGGGCAAACTGGATATAACTGTGATCTACAACCAATAAATTCTGTGTGCTTGGTGGGTATTACTCTACAGTGCAGCATTGCTGATTGCAAAAAGTGGACCATGGGACATAGGGACAGAGATGATCCAAGAAACAATTATAACAGTGACTAGATTACTAGAATATTGTAAATTGATGTTTGTGATGTTATTCTGAGTGTGCATCCACACCGGGCAAGCTCAAAAGTTTGCCTGACCATGGTGGGAATTGAACCTGCAATTTTTGGGATATTAGTCCAATGCTCTACCAACTGAGCTCAGCTCGGTATGGATGCATACTCTGAGTAACATCACAAATGTATTCACCCGAATAAATAACACCAACACACACAAGAAGTATATTGTAAATTGTTGTTATTTTATTATGGATCCCTACATACCGTAAACCACCGACTACAACCCCTGGGCTTATATACTTTCGTAAGCGATTTTTGATGGGCTTATACAAGGGTGAGCTTATATACGGGGGGGGGCTTATACATGGACGACCTTTTGTGTTAGTGTAATAGTGATAAACAAGACTTAGTGTTAAACAATCACAGCAAAAATAGTGATTAATAGTGGTAATAGTGATAAATAATAGTGATAAACAAGTGGGCTTATATTCGGGTGGGCTTATATTCGGGGGGGGCTTAGATTTGGAATGAGGTGAACGTTAGTAGATGTGGTGGGCTTATGCACAGGGGGGGGCTTATAGTTGGAGGTTTACGGTATTTATTTTATTATGGATCCCTACAATAACAGTGACATAGATTACTAGGCTAATGTAAATTGTTGTTATTTTATTTTATTATGGACAAAATTTCTCCAGATCCATGGATCTTTTTTGGCAATAGATATCAACTTGATCAAAGCTTTATTTTCCTCAAAGGTCCATTTATGTTTTTTTCACTGGTGACTTCTCTGACAGAGTCAGCCTGATCTTTCTGCTAGAAAACTACAAAAAAGTATGTCATTTACTAAAATGGAAATTGGGGCGCAGATGACATATGAATAATCATACATGAATAATGTTACACTGCAGAATAATGTTACACAGAGGTATTAAGGTGGAGTAATACAGACAACAAAATTGCTGCAATTTGCAACAAAATCTGATTTCATCGGGATGTTAAGTGGAAATGTTGACACATAACTTAATACAAATCATAGAAGTGTTGACACATGTTGCCTCGTACATGTGTTGAAATCAGATTTTGTTGCAAGTTGCAGCAATTTTGTTGCTCGTACTTACTCCCGCTTTACACTGAATATACAAAGACAATTTATAAGAAATTATAAAATAGCAAAGAATAACAGTACATTTATAAGTACAATTTCGTCTACCATATATTTTTTTATTATACCTTTGCTGATGTGCCAGGACTTTGAAACAAAGCTGAATGGAGTGAATGATGAACTTTCCACACGAGATATTTTCCTGGCGTATCAGTAATTTGAGTTTCCTCATTTTCTAAATCATGATCAACAATGACAACATCGCCATCATTAATAAATTCCATTTTTTGCTCCAATAAACTCGAATTCTATAAAAACAAATGATACAATCAGGAACAATACGTTAGAAAATCTGGCTTGTTTACGTCGCATTCGCGCCATATTTCCGGTAGATTAGGGTCATTCCATTTATTATCCGCACCCCCCCTATGGATGAGCTCTGGTAAAAATGTTACCTGTAGGAATCGGATTTCAGAGAAGTACCCTGTTGGAATCGACAGTATCAATCTAAACCCTAGGAATGCTGCTAATTGCCAATATCTCACTGGTAGGAATCTGCTAATTGCCAATATCTCACCGGTAGGAATCTGCTAATTCCCAATGTCAGACCGGGGGTGGGGGGTGAGAATAATAAATGAAATTATTATGATTCTCATAATAAATATTTGGCAATATAGTATGCTACACCTTGACGGCAATATCTGACCGGTAGGAATCGGGCCAAAGGAATCTGTTAATTCCCAATATCTGACCAGTAGGAATCCCTAAGTCCTAATATCTGACCGGTAGGAATCCGCTCATCCATAGGGGGGGTGCGGATAATAAATGGAATGACCCGTTCAGTCGCCGCAAATTCATAGTATGCAGCAAAGTGGGTCGACCCAAAGGAGGACTGCAATTAAACAAGAACAAACGTCATCAAAGCAGCCACCTGCATTATTAAACAATAACCAGCATATACCTGGAAAACCTGTCTTGAACCATGCAATGGTTATGAGAAATAAATTTGCAAAAACAATTGCAAATCATTTACCACAAAGTACAGCGATTAAATCAGTGAGCACAATTGTAACTCAGCACAGCAATACGACAGCTGTGCAAAACTATGCTACAGCAATACAAGCACAGTGGGTTAGTAATCGAACAAAGGAACGAGTTGCGAAGTTAGAATCATTCTTTACAAGGTTAATAACCTTAGCGACTAGTATATCACCAGAGATTGGTAAATATGTTCAGGAACTTATAAAGGCTCTTGTGGTAAGAATAGGGGATTTTTAGTCTACCACCTCTTTAAATTTGTGCTGATTGCTTATATGGTGTTACAAAAATTAACAAGTTCTAAATGTATGAGTCTCTAGAGCTGCTCCCGATTAATCAATCAATCGATTATTTTTTTACAATCGATTATGCTTAACAGTAATCTGATTATCTATAACACCACACAGTGTGACATGGGAATGAGTTACTGCAATTTCTTTTCAGATTAAAAAAATTGTGATGAGATTGTGATAGAAACATTAAATGACAAATTGATTCAAAGCAATTTGTGGGTAATATCAATTTCACTTGCAGCATGCAAAGTTTACCATAGTCTGATTGGGTATTTTACCAGTGCTGTGAAAATATCTTTAAAGTTTTATTAGAAGAATTAATGGGTCGTTCCAGAAAAGATCCATACTCCCCCCACAGAGGAAATTTCTGCTGTCTGGAGGGGAGAAAAAATTGCTTCTGATCATAGTAAATGTATTAGGACATCCGAAGGGGGTAGGGGGGTTAACTTCCTATTTACTCTGTCGGGGTGGTATGGATGTTTTCTGGAATGACCCAATATAATCATTTGCATCCAACATTGCGGCATGCGGACATAAGCCGAAACGAAAAGATCGAGGACGAAAACCACAGAAGCGAGACTTGTGGCGAAACAATCGAGCGAAAATTAAGCGAGCACGTGGTTGATGTTGCTGGTAAAGACGAAGTCAACAGGAAACATTCAATTTGCGAGGAATGTCAGAACCGCAAAGACGAAATTACAGAAATAAAAGCGATTATAAACGAAATTAAAACTAACCAAAACGAAGACCGAGAAAAATCAATTATAAAAGCGTTAGAATCGGACGAAAGGATAAAATCCTTGCACGAGGAAAACTCAAAAATGACGGAAGAGATCAAATATCTTAAAGCTACAATATCCGAACTTTTCACTGACAATGAGAACATAAAAAATATTCTCGACGTCAAGCAGAATGAATGGCTGAAAATAGCGGAAAACCCGAATCCATCAAAATGTAGTAAAACTGCAACAACGCCGCCTACAACCTCAGTACAAAACCAGTTTGAATTGCTCAATGATGAAAATTGTGAGAGCGGAATATCATCGCCTGAATTAGACTCAAACGAGCAAACGAACACGTACGTAAATAGCCAGATTCATGAATATAGATCAAAGGCACAATCGAAGTTTGAAAACCGAAAGAACCAAACTCATGCGCAGCAGAAGGAAAAGAAGAACCATGTCCATGCAAAGAAGACCGGATCCAAAAATGAAATTAAAAAAGTCCTGGTAATCGGCGACTCGATGGTGAAACACATCGATCGGGTGAAAATTGAGCGAGCTGCAGGTTGCCAATCAGTCGTCCACTCTTACAGCGGCGCAAGAGTGGAACAAATCAGTTCTAAAATTAAAGAATATTGGTCAGAAGGGGAGCAGTATGACACAGTTCTCCTTCACGTGGGCACCAATAACCTCGCTTCTGAAGAGCCAGAAGAAGTGGCATCTAAGATGGATGGGCTTATCAAAGACCTCAAAGATCACGCCAAGAAAATTGCCATCTCAAGTGTAATTAAAAGGTATGACAACCGAGTTCCGGCTAGCAAGATAACTCGTTTTAATATCCTTGTTAAAAACTTATGCATGAAACATAATACCACATTTTTAGATAATGACCACATTGACAGGTCGTTACTAAATCGCTCTAATTTGCACTTAAACCAACAAGGTGATAGGGTGCTAGGGAGTGTTTTCTGCACATATCTGAAATCGTTTAGAGTAGGTAATAACAGGCAGTTTTTTCACCAAGCTCATGGACATCGGAACAGAGAATGGACAATGTACTTGAAATATGTGAATCAAATAATGAAGAA